GAAGATGAATCAGGTGATGGTGGGACTGAAGATGAATCTTCTGGAGGATTAACTGTTGAGCTTTCTGATGGTTCATCTGGTGTTGTACCACTGAAATATTTTCCTGGTTTTCCATCACAATCTGGTGTGCCTCCTTGAAACGGCCACATGCATGGGTTGTAAATTGTTTTACCACACTTGCATTCTAAGCCATTAGGACAAGTTGCTTGCTTAAATCTGGATTGTCCATAACACCAATAATATGTTGTTGAGTCAACACAATAAAACCCACTTTCAAGACCATCACAATTGGTTCGTTGACCAAATGTGATATTTAAACCATAACTTAAAGTCATGAATATAGTAACTGTTAAAACAGCTAATTTCATCTGTTTTTGTTCTTTTCTAAAACGGAGATTAAATGTGTCTTGGTTTCATCTCGTCAAAGAAGATGAGCAAATCAGCGGGTATAGCTTTTCGTTTTGGAGAAATGCAGTTCTTAAAAAAACAAGAAAAATGAAAAACAAAAAGACTGAAAATACGAGAGAATGAGCGAAGAAACCAATACAACAGCAGAGACTGAACAAGTCTTAGAAACTACAAATCCAGAAGAGACAACACCAACCGAAAAGAAACCACGTCAATCAAAAAAAACAAAAGAGGAGAAACCAAAGAAAGTCTTAGTTAAACAACATAAAAAAACAAAGAAAGAACGAGAAGAAGAAAAGAAGCCTATTCTTCCAAAATACCTTATTAAGAAAATAGAACGACAAGAAGAAATCAAGAAAGAACGAGCTGAAAGAGAAGAGGCTAAAAAGAAAGAGAAACGAGAAAAGCAAGAAAAGAAAGAACAAGAAGAACGTCTAGAGAAGTTAAGGAAGAAAGAAGCTAAAAAAGAAAAAGCAAAACAATATAAAAAACACGAAAAGAAACAAAAAGACAAAGAAGAAGAACAAGAAAATAAACCAGAAAGAAAAAATTTAACATTTTAAGTGAATTAAAAAAGAACAAAATTGATTGCATTGAATTAAATAAAAAACAACCCTTGTTATAATTTTTAATTATAAATTTTAATAAATTAAAAAAATAAAAAGAAGACAAAAGAAATGAGCAAAGTCACTGAACAACAAACCATTATTAATAAAACAGTTGATTTGATTGAAAAACAAATTAAAGGGTGGGGTGTGTTATGTCAAATGATTAATGAAGGTGTGCAACGATTTAATGATAGTAATGAAGTTAATGAAAAAGAAGAACAAATTATTGGATTACATGCATTAAATGAACGTCTTGAAGAGATGTATCATTCTATGGAAATAGCTGTCAATAATACAAAGAGTCGAATTCTTAAATTACCAATTGGAAATGATTCATCAGTGTATCAACATTACCATCATCAATGTGAAATGATTGAACAAATAGTAAAATGGTATTGTGTTGAATGGATAGTAAGAGATAATTTAATACAACAATTAAATCATTACATATCTACAATACAAGTACAAGAATTACATGATAAATGGAAGAATTATAGTCATAGTAATGAAAGTTTGTATTTATTGATTTTAATAATTAAAAAGTACAGAAAATGATTTATAGTTCAAACCATGATTGATACATTAAAGACATGTAGAAGTTTCAGTGGAATAGTGAATAAGAATTTAAGATAATTGAATTGTTTTAAAGAATAAAAAAAGATAAAGAAAAAAAATACACAGTTAATATACTAATTTATAATATTAAAAATGATTGAATTTCTGGGACAGGAATTATATCTAATTGAACGATTTTAAGAGAGATTATTTGATGAATTAGTCTTGCGACTTCAATGATTTTGATCATATTTAATTTATTATCGAAGAACAATGTAATACTTGATTGAATTTTCATTTCATGTTTCCAAATTTCAATGACAGGGATTTTTATAGAGAATTGAGGAAGTTCATTAAACATTCTTTTATATTCATAATAATTATTATCATAACTAAATAATGAATTTAATTTATCATAAAGTTTTTTATATTTTTTATCTAATTTAGCTAATTTCGGATATTCATTAAATTTACTTCTTAATTCTCTGATAAAAGTAAATAAAAAATTGAAATCGTTTTGTTCGAGTAATTCTTCAAGTAATTTTAAAATATATTTAATTTCATTTTTTTTAGTAATTAACTTCATAAGTTTTTTAGTAATTCTTTTAACGAGATGAATCCATTCATTAATATTTTCATTTTCTTCGAATTTAATGATGTTATTAACATTAATATTTTCTGTCATTCTCCAATCAAATAAAATGAGTTGTTTTGCTAATATTTTTGGTGGTAATTTTTGATAATTGTTAATATCAAGAAGTGTTATATCAAATAATTTTTTCTTTGATTTTGTTTTAGGATTATTTCCTGTTATAATAAATCCTTTTGATAATATTAATTCATCTTTTGTTTGAAATTGAATTGAAGTTTGTTTAGTAAGTTGAAATTTGATTTGATTAATAAATGATAATGAATATATTTCATCATTAAAACATTCAAGTAATTTTTTTTCTTTAATATCAAGTGCAATAACACGAACAATTGTAATAACTGTTTGTTCAATTACTTTTTGAAGTAAATTAGCTTTTTCTTCCATTAAATGATGAAAATGAATAAGATCTTTAAGTCTTTTATGTTGTTTAATAATTAAATCAATAAGTTCTTTTTTTGTTAAGAACAATGGGAATGAATAAATAAATGAATCAATATACCTTTTTCCTTTTGGTTGATCAAAAATCATTTCAATAAATTTTTCTTTACTTATTTCTTCTATTTCACCATTTTCATTATATAATGGATCACCATTTGGATTAAATACTATTTTAAATTGATTTAATACATTTTTAATGAATGATTCACAATATGGTAATAATAAATGTTTGTGATTAAAACACATTTCCATTAAAATTCCAACTCCATTCTTTTTTTGTGAAGCAATAAAACATAATTTTTTGAATATTTCTCTAATATTTTGATCAAATCCCCAAACTACCATTCTAAAATCATTATAATTACATTTAGATTCATCTTGAATTAAACAAAAATCATTTTCAAAGAAAAATGTACTAATTTCTTCAATTTCACATTCTTGGTTAATCATATCTAAAATACTTTCTACTAATAAACTTTTATCTCCAAATACATTTCTATTACTCTTTCTCATTTTTCTTTTAATATCATCAGCACTTTTAATTCCTTTAATTTTCTCTTTAGAAAATATAGGACTAATAGAATTTGTTTTTTTAATACTAATTCTTTTATCTCCATCTAAATCTTCACTAAACCTTCTTAATTTTTTTTGAAGAAAATCTTTTTCATTTATTGGTCGAGAAGTGGGTTTTATATCTGATATTGGACTTTCTGTTCCTCCTGTTGTTTTAAGTGTTGAAGTAAATGAATCGGTATTGGATATTGAAAGTGTTTTAGGAGGTGATGTTGAACCACATGATTTTATTATTGAATTAGTAGTACTAGATGACACTGAGTCAAGAGATAAATTATGAATAGAACCTTCATTCATATGACTGGGAAGTGATGAATTTTTTGATGAACTTTTAACCCTGTGTGGAATTTTAAATTCTTGTTGTACAACTGAGTCTGGATGACTTATAATACTTTTTTCACTGTCTGGTGTTTTTAAAGGATAAAGTTCTGTTCTAGAAGAATCATCAATAATTATATCAAACGACCTTTTTTGTTTTGAAACTCTTCTATGAAATGGTTCAATTGAATTTTCATTAACAAATTCAGGTGATCGTTTTAGTTCACTAAATGTCAACATTGGACGAAGACGATGAAAACCACTAATAATTTTCAGATATTCCTAGAATTAAAAAAATTGGTTTTACGTCCGAATTATTATTTATTTAGAAAACTAATAAAAAATCTAGAGAAAAGGTTTGTTATTCGACAAAAAAATAAAACCATAATAATATCTTTTATAACTTCATTTTTTTTT